GCAAGATCACACACGAAACACGCATCAGGTTATAATGGGGGGGGGGTCTGATGAGTCTGAAGTGCCCCAGAAAGCAACATGGAATAAAAAACATCGTAACAATAATGAAGTGCATGAAAGAAAGAAATATGCAGTGTCTGCACGCTGTCGTAGACCTGTGGGGGAGATACAGGTTCAACTAAACCTACAAAGAGAGAGAGAGAGAGAGAGAGAGAGAGAGAGAGAGAGACTAGTCCCGCAGTAGTCTCCGACAGAGAACACCGGTGAACATGAATATGGTACACAGTAGTCAACCGGAGGGTCGGTCAAACTGAGGGGGGGGGAGAGGGACGTACAAGCTGAGGGATGTACAGGTTGAGCAATCCATGTGTACACACACATACACAGGTTGTTTGTACAACAACTGTGATGCCATGTGCTATGCATGTGTCGCATCATCCCTGATGTCTGACGTGGTCTGTCGTGCTGTGTGGGTGTGTATGTGTGTGGTGCCGTGGCCGAGCACTAACTACTGCATCCCCTGTCGACAAGCCGGGGTGCAATGTCTCTCCCCAAGCTGTGGCCACTGCGCCATGCAGGAGGCAACTCAGGTTCAGTCCCCATGTCAGCGATGTTGCTAGCACAGCCTCTCTGTTCACCAGAACAAACCATGCCTTGCCGATACGTGACCATTTTTTCCCCTTCTTGCCGGATCGCATTATGGTGGTCACTGCAGCATACTGCATGGCACCATCAGGTGTCGCCCCCTTGAACACCACACGCAGCACGTTGTGCGGATCAGGAAATACTCGTGCCAACCTCAGGATTGCATGTGCCCAACCTTTGGTTACTTGTCCACCCGCTGTCTTGAGATCGTAGTACACGTTATTGTCGTCGTCCGCTTCGTCGTTGCTGACGTCGCTGCCGCTCACATCCACGTCAGACCCCTCGCACTCTTCCTTATCCTCCTCCTCTGCATCGACTCTGTGCTGTGCATCGTCTGTGTGCTCGTCCTCCTGCTGCTCCCCGAAGAAGAAACGCTCACAAGTGTCCATATACCCCAACTCCTCTGTCGATGGTGTGTGCAAGGTAGACACGTCAACCACCATCGCCCCGCTCGTATCTTGTGCTGTTGATGTCTCCCCGGTTTCTTCAATGACCGTTAACCTTGTTTCACTGGCAATCATCCTCCAACCCTCTTCCCTTTCTCTCTGTCTCTCGACATCGTAGGTTGCAAGACCAAGCCGCTCCAGAGCACAACCCAACAAGCCCCCCCACAATGGTCTGCCACTAATGATCTCCTCTCCTGCCGACGCGGGCTCAAACTCAATGACATCTCGACCCTGCATGGCATACTCTGTGACTTCGTGCAACATCTCATGAATGACGTTCCTGTCGTCCTCTGACCTCCCCATGAGATCACATAGCTGGTCAAGCAGAACGTATTTCACACCGTCTGCAATAATAATGGGAAGCTCTTGAAAGTCCTGGGGCGGTGTTTGTGTCATGTCCTTGATTCTGGACAGCACTAGTATTTCTGCAGCACCCCTCTTCAACTCGTCCTTCGTCCCTTCAACAAGCATGTCYCATCCCTTCGCCACACTCACCATGARCTTCCTGAAAGCCACAGGTGTATAGGTCCCCCCTCTCTGCTGCATTGACATGTCGACAAGTCCTTCGTCGCGCATGCCTTCGCTGCACATCCACTGCACCACTCCTTTTAGACTGTATGGGCTGTCTTCCGCGTCGCTGTCCACACGAATATCAGGTGACTCTCTCAATCATTCCAAGAGTGTTCGTGCCTGTATGCAACCACTGTCGTTGGCCATGATCGTGGATCTCATATCCACGGTAACAACAAAGTACCGCGGCACCCTCTCCTCCACCAAAGACAACTCGCCACGACAGTTGTAGTGGAATCGGTCCTCAGCATACTTTATCACCTCTGCGAGAACCTTCGCCACCTGTGCTACCGACATCGACATGATGCAACTGCTTTGTCTTTTGACCTCTTCTCTCTGCCAGCGGAAACGCACAAAAACATCATCGACATGTGTGTGTGTGTGTGTGTGTGTGTGTGTGTGTCTCGGCCTTTGTTGCAAGGTTGGCTACTGCGGGCCATTCAGTGTTGCAAGGGTTATCGTTTGGCAGATTATGGCACGCAGTAGCCAACTTCAGGGTTGCGTCCAACAACGTGTGTGTGTGTGTGTGTGTGTGTGTGTGTGTGTGAGCACGTCATCCATACATACATACAGACAGATTGTCCGTTCAACAGTCAGAAAGACCGACAGTCTAACACAGGGACACACATCCAGACAGACCTACAGAGAGACAGACCGACCTACAGACAGACATACAGACATACAGACATACTGACAGGCAGACAAACGAACTGACTGACAGACAGACTGCAGTAGTCAGACAGACAGACAGACAGACAGACAGACAGAAAGAAAGAAAGAAAGAAAGAAAGAAAGAAAGAAAGAAAGAAAGAAAGACAGAGAGACAGACAGACAGACAGACAGACATACCGACAGACAGACAAACAGACAGACAGACAGACAGACAGACAGACACACAAACAGACAGATAGACAGACAGACTGACAGACCAGCAGACAGACAGACAGAAAGAAAGAAAGAAAAAAAAAA